TCTGGGCATCCAGAAACTGTTGACAGAGCAGTGGCTGTGGTGGCCATCCCATCTTTGCCTGGAAGTGTCAGTTGTTAGCTGTGTGGTAGAAAGCAGGAAATGGAACGGTGAGAGTCAGCATGTGATGGATTGAGTCTTAAATGTTGGCTGGGAAAGTGAGCAACAGTGACTGCAATTCTGTCTCTGGACTGAATGTGTGGATGGCTCCCCATCCCCACCCCCCGAAGTGGATGCATCGGAGATAAGACTGCTGGACTTTTGCAATGGTAGTAGTCATGATGCTGGGAAAGATTTAGATATGATGAGCTGCAAGGATGGATGGATACTGCCAGTAGTGTCCATCTTGATGATTGTAAGGAACAAGGCTGTTACACAACAGGAAGGCCTGGAATATCATAAACTACATGGTTTGGGAGAGACTGAGAACAGACTGATTTGGGTTGATGAGGAGACTGTAGTTTGTGGGTATGGAGTCTTTATGGCTGCACAGATGTTGCCTTGAAGGGGGGGTGGTTGAGAGTCCTATGTTGAACTGGCCCTTTTGGAGTAGGATGAGGATTTCTTCTTGAAGTATTGAAGAATGTAGTGTTGAACACTACCAGATGCAGTTGAGAGAGGTAGTGGGGTGTCAAAGGCTAAAAATATACAGCCACAAACTGTTGCAAGACAGAGTTGTATTATCTCTGATGTGAGAGGAAGCAGTGAAAGCAGTGACACTGACAAAATACATGTGTCCATAGAAGAGCAATGGGCATAATGTTGGATGTGATGAGAATGATACCCAAGGGTAGTTATTAAAGCAAGAGGCATCTTGTTGTTAATTGGGGGGGGCTGGGGTAGGTGGATGCAAGTAATCTCCCATGACATGAGTACTATCGGTCCTGGGGAGTGCTTGATCACACCGTTTGGCCTTGATGAGGGTGGATTAGGAGCCTCATGGCCCTTGGTCGGCCAGTGTACTACATGGTAAGCACAGTATGAGAGAAAACAGTGTGTTAGAGAGATCTGATATGGTCTCTAGCATGGAGGAGATGGGGACAAAGACAGAGATCTGTAGGGTGTGCGATTTCATGGGCAATCAAAGCTGCTCCTGTAACGGGAAGGAAATCACCACTCCTTCTTTAGATCACAAAAGAGCAACAGACGTTCATAGCCATTCAGTGTAGCTAAAGTTTTTTACTTTTTATCTGCTTTCTGTTTGTTCACATTTTACAAATGCTACAGATTGAGATGTTTAGTCATTAGCAGATTATTTAGAAAATAAACAAGCTTGCAGCAAACTAGGTGTCATTTTTAATTCACCTTTCCTCTGATGAGTGCAAATGTACTCTTCTATTTTATGTTTACACCTCTCTATGAGGTAGGTTAGACCAAGATGATAATTAGAGTTCTCCATGTCTGTGGCCAAATTAACATATTATGCAAAATAGGTAGCCATATTTGCACATGTGCAAATTTTATATTATGCAAATTACCATTAATTTCTGCTCTGTTTTTCTACCAACATGATTTAAAGTCTCCAGAAGTCTCCAGTGTTCTTTCTGTCAAATACTGTAATACTAAATTAAGTTGCTCATAAAACTGGGCAGGGGAAATGTCTAAACAGTACTCAATAAACACATGTGCACAAATGCCTACTTTGTGTAAAAATGCACATACCTTTACACTTAATAGTGTTTTTAAATCTTTAATTTTGCATACAGTATCATTTCCCCATAAGAGAAAAACACACAAAACAATGTCGTTGCAAAGTTAGATCATTTTCCATAAGTGGGGATACATAATTTTCCTCTCAATTAACATAAAGAAACATTTTTATAGTAGAAAAATATGTATTTACATCAAAAAGTGGCTAGAAATATATCACTATTTTAACGCATTATAGACACAATTCTTCCTTTCTTTCCAAGCTGAACAAAACTGATTTTGTTTTTTCAGCAAGTTTCATTATAATTTACCCACACTTTCCATATTCAGACACATAAAACATTATTTTAAAAGCTGTTTTACAAAATATCCGTTCTTTCCTTTAATTTTTTTTTACAAACAGTGCAACATATGGGAATGTGCAATATAAAAATCAAGTCATGTCCAACATTTCTTACAAAATTTATGGAAAAGCTACCCATGAAAAACAAGTATAAATAGTGTAAAAACTTGAAAGAAAAGATACGCTGCCATCCAAAGCATCTGCATGGGACTCTGGAAGGCACATTGTCTTCCACAGAAAGCAAAAGTTTCCATCTTCACTACAGGAACAGATTGCCCTAAAGAGACTCCACTCAAGTCACATACAATTGTTTTTGCAGGAGGGAGAAGTGCCCAGAGAGGGCTAGCAATGGCTCTGATCCAACAACACCATATTACTTTCAGCAACTCTTTCATAAGAATGGGGGAAGATTTGTTAAATAAGAAGAGCCCTGCTGGATCAGGCCAAGGGCTCCTCTAATCCAGCTTCCTGTATCTCACAGTAGTCCCACCAGATGCCTCTGGGAGCACATGAGACAACTAGATCCCTGTCTCCTGATACCCCTTCCCTGCATCTGGCATTTTGAAGTACCTTCCTTTTAAGCCTAGAGATTAGACATCCCCATCATGGCTTGTAACCTGTAATGGACTTTTCTTCCAGAAATCTGTCCAATCCCCTTTTAAAGGCATCTAGGCATGCACACTGGCAACCTATGCAGATATAATTCTTTTGGCTAAAGTCAAGAAATGAGCCCTTATTATTCACCTGGATTTTTATATCCGGCAGTAAGTCTTAACTATGTAATCAGTTCAGTGTAAACACCCAAAGCAGTGAAATGAAGCAAGAAAGCCTTTCTTGAAGGTGGAGAGTTGTAGAAGTGGCAGTTCTAGGGGAAGAGTTTTGCTGGATTAATTCTGAATCTGAGACAAGCATGTCGAAAACAGAGGGCTGGTAGGTTCTGTTTAAGAAAGAAAAAGCAGGTAGAATGGAGAAGTGCAGAACTCTCCCCAAGACCCAATGCTAAAACAAGTAGTTTACCACTACAAGAAACTTCATCCTATAGTCTAGGCAAGATGGGGATGTTGTTTTTGCTTGCACAACTGATCGCAGAGTAATGGCCAATACTCCAAAATGAATCATATTGTTTGCCCACCTAGAAATTCAATGAAATTCCATTTGTGCTTTATTTTCCTCCACTGAAGTTACCTTGGATTTAGGCTCTGTTATCCACACCAGATGTGGATTTAAATACATGCTTAAATTTTGTTCCTGGATTTATTTATTTCTTCTATGTGCATAGAACTTTGTTTGCTTACTTGGTTTTGTAAGAAAGAAATCAAATTTGCACTGTTTTACCCAGCCTGAAGAGTTCAGTAAATGTTTTCTTTTTTTCTTTTTCTTTTTTGTTTGTTTGTTTTGTTTTCTTTTTTGGTTTTTGGCCAGTTGTACAAACTGGCCATAAGCCTAGAAAGCCATATGCCCAAGAGCTCCCTCTTAGTGTTTCATCTCAGCCCTTGTCTAGCGCTGTGCAGCATAACCTCAAGGTTGTTACTATTACCTGCTGTCAAGTTGCCTCTGAGGTACAGTGACCCTGTGTATGCGTGGTCTCCAAGGTACCAGAGACATGTCTTAATAGTAAATAAGGAAGAAGGGAATAGTTCCTGTTTGAGAAGTTTTATTGATATGCAGGTCCCAGTATTGGTGTCCAGCTTCCATAAGCCCTGGCCATGCTGGCTGGAGATAATCAGAGTCAGAGGCTGACACTATTTGTATGGTCATAAACCCTTTCAACCTTGCTATAAAGGCTGAAAAGAAAAGGAGGTAGATGAGGTCAGAATATGTGGTTGACCAAAAGTGAAGCAGATAATGAATGTGCTCACCGATTTTACTTAGAATTATCCAGGCATGATAAGATCCTACTAACGTTTGTATCTGACAAATATTTTTCAAAAACATACTGCAGGTCAAGAGTGACAACACTGGCAACAAAAAAATCAGACATTAGCACATTTTAAAAGGAATATAAAAAGTTGATGTGGTTACACACTGTCAAATTAAGCAGGAGAGATTAAAGCATAAATGTAAGCATGAGTTACATCTCCCACTGAAAACAATGGAAAGTGCTTCACTTTGGCCAGATTGTTCTACTTGTGTTTGCATAGCTAACTTGCTACACAAAATCACACATTTTTCCTATATAAAATGGATAAATGGCTTGGCTCTATGAAATTTAGATGAGAAGAAATGTGCATTTGAAAGAGGATCATGGAAGCAAAACTGCTTGTAAAATTATCAAAAGCTCTTTGTCTTGGGCAAAGCGTATGGTCCTCATTTATTTAAAAAAAATGTTATTCAGTTAACATTGGTTGGGCACTGAACTCCACTGAACACTGTGAGAGTTACTTCTGAGTAAACACAGACAGGGTTGGGTGTATGATCTCTCTCTTTTCTTTCATGTAAGCTTTGGTGAAGAAAAAAGAAACGAGTATGTATAAAGTACGATCTATATCAGCCCTTCCTAAACTGCTGCACTCCAGCTGTTTTGGATTCTCTCATTTCCCGTCAGCACTATTGGCCATACTAGCTATGAGTGATGGATCCAAAATTCAGAATGCAAATGTAAGCATATTTAAAATCTCATTGATTTCAATGGAAGGGATATAAGTACATCCTTTACTCCTCCATTGTAAACAAGAGGATACAAACCGCTTCTGTATGGATATCTTAACTAATTTTAGCCAACGTAATTTAAAATCCCAATACACAATAGCTAATGCATGTAATTTTTGTTTACACTTATGATTTTTTTACAATTGGAGCCTGCTCAAGCCATAGATAAAGATTTTAAGCCCCACCTATTTATACCACGAAAATGCAAGTATGTCCTGTGGCAAACAACAGAACACAAAAGCCCTTGCCTTCGACTGGCTCATGCAGATACACACTTTCCACTTTGCCAGAAGGTAAAATCTAGATAACTCTGTCCATAGAACTGCTGGATAGTAGTTTAGATTTAGGTTTCTGGCTGCGA